ATAGGCATAGGCAAGGACTTCATGACTGAAACACCAAAAGCACTGGCAACAAAAGCCAAAACAGACAAATGGGATCTAATGAAACTCCAGAACTTCTGCACAGCAAAAGAAACAATCGTTAGAGTGAACCGGCAACCAACAGAATGGGAAAACATTTCTGCGATGTAGCCATCTGACAAAGTGCTAATATCCAGAATCTGCAAATAACTAAAACAGATTTACAAGAAACAAACAAACTAACCCATTCAAAAGTGGGCGAAGGACATGAACTCACACTTTTCAAGAGAAGACATATATGAAGCCAACAAACATATGAAAAAATGCTCATCACCACTGGTCATTAGAGAAATACAAATCAAAACCACATTGAGATACCATCCCCTGCCAGTTAGAATGGCGATTATTGAAAAATCTGGAGACAAGAGATGCTGGAGAGGATGTGGAGAAATAGGAACACTTTTACACTGTTAGTGGGAGTGTAAATTAGTTCAACCATTGTGTAAGACAGTGTGGTGATTCCTCAAGGACCTAGAAATAGAAATTCCATTGGACCCAGCAATCCCATTACTGGTATATATCCAGAGGGTTATAAATCGTTTTATTCTAAAGACACATACACACGTATGTTCATTGCGGCACTGTTCACAATAGCAAAGACCTGCAACCAACCCAAATGCCCACTGCTGATAGACTGGGCAAGGAAAATCTGGCACATATACACCATGGAATACTATGCAGCCATAAAAAACGATGAGTTCGTGTCCTTTGTAGGGACATGGATGAATCTGGAAACCATCATTCTCAGCAAACTGACACAAGAACATAAAATCAAACACCACATGTTCTCACTCACAGGCGAGTGTCGAACCATGAGAACACATGGACACAGGAAGGGGAGCATCACACACTGGGGTCTGTTGGGGGGAAAAAAGGGAGGGACTGTGGGGTGTAGGGAGGTTGAGGAGGAATAACATGGGGAGAAACCAGATATAGGTGAGGGCGGGATATAGGCAGTGAACCATATTGCCGTGTATGTACCTATGCAACAATCCTGCATGATCTACACATGTACCCCAGAACCTAGAATGCAATAAAATATGTATATATATGTGTGTGTATATATATATATATATATGTGTGTGTGTGTGTGTGTGTGTGTGTATATATGTGTGTATAAATATATATATATACACACACACACACATATATATACAAATATATACATATATGTAAAGAACGTTGAAAATAGGCCGCAAAAGTTCTGGCTTTTTTTGGATACCTAGTTAAAAATGAAAGTGTTATCCTTATGGAAATGTACTCACTACTATTGTATGTACAATAGTGCACCATGCAGTTTGTTTTTATTTTATGTTATTTTGTTTTTAATTTTACCCAAGTGAACCCCAAGTTGTTTTATTTGTTATGGGATTTTGATGAGATAGAATTTCTTGGTTTTTCACATTCGTATGGTGCAGAGCTGTGTAGCGAAACTACGCACAGCAAGGATGTATGCCTGTGAGGCGGCACAGACCCAGTGGGTCAGACATGGTCTCCATCCTCCTCTTATCCTGAGGAAATCTCACAGCTCCAGACAACACAGATGTACAACGTTGAACAACAGTCAGATGGCTTGAAGAAATACGTCTTTAGGAAAACTCTGCGCATTCCGTGAAGTAATCAATATAGTATATAATTATACATTTGCACGATTTTGAAGTCTACTACAGCAGTGAGAGTTTTAAAATGCTGTGTTTAGTGAACATTATCAATACAGTCTTTAATATCATCAATCTTAAGTCAAGAAATTAGAAAGTACTCAAATCTTAGAGCTGACATGTGAAAGAAAACTAGAAGCTTTTCCAAATCAGACATTGATCAGACAAATTTGCTTAGTATTACCAATATGAATTTGGAAGCAGGAAGAAAATGTTATAAACAATAAATTTCACAAGTAGTGTTGATTGCAGTACCTCATAATTTTGGACAATTGTAGTATTTACCAGTATTTTAAAGTGATCAAACTTAGTGGGAAGACTGGTTTATTTTTCTGCTATACTTACAGAAAATTCTATTATAAAATCAATGTCATGTAATGAGGCAAATAATGACTCAACAGTTGAGTATGAAAACGTAGAAATAACTTATTGCACTGTTGTGTCAAGTAGGTAATTAATAAAAACGTTACGTTAGCAAGCAAAAAGAGCATAAATTAAGGAAGAGCAAATCTGCCCTTTCATCTGCAGGGCGGTAGGATGGACTGATGGGGTCAAGGCCAGCGGCATCATGGGCAGGAAACAATGTGTGTCTCAAGCTGCAGCTTTGAAATGTCAACCCCCCTCTTGCTTGGCTCACGGCTTCTTTCTGACTCAATGGGAGACTGTGTTCTCCAGTGTCAGGGGCTGCCAGAAACTTTGTTTATGAGTAAGAAGAACACCCCACTGCCTAGAGAATCTATTTCCACTTTACACAGAAGCACAGAGCTACACGGAAGAGGTTTTGGGACAGAACGTCTCACATCTGGCTGGACTGTACAGGCTCTGAGGACATAGGGCCTAGGTCCACTGTGCAGACCAGACTTGACACTGGGAGCTTGACACAGAGGCCTGCTGTGCTCTGGGTCCATCACTGCAGCCTCAAATCCCACCCCACGGTCATATAATAAACTCTTCTTTGTTTTTGTGAGTCATTCCAGGTTTCTTGATGTGAATTTATTCCCTTTTCGCTGCAAGCTAATAATCCTGAGTGTGTTGACCGCAAAATCTGTTTTGGTGTCTGATTGCATTAGGATATATATTATTTTCCTGGAATTTAGGATGATTATAGAATTATTCAGGATTTTAAAATGAGTAATCTGTTGTGACTTATTTCTTCCTATATAAACACCAGCTTTTGTGCTTAGTTTCGAATCATTATATTATGCTATTTTCATGCAGATAACCCCGTGAATCATGTAAGCGTCAGACCTCACAGAACCGAGGTCACCGTGGTCATGGTGCTGAGAATCCACCTGCACAAGGAATCACTGCACTGGTTCTTGCTTCCCAGGCTTCCAATGGACTAGTCTCTCTCTCCAGAGTGATTTGTCAATGCTGAAACACTGAACCTCTGTGGTTTTAGTCTTTTAGCAAAAATTCGTGGTATTATTTTTGCTAAAGGACCTCTTAGAAGAGGTGTAGAATTTCCAAACCATGACCCTCAGGAGACCCTTCCTACTCCAAACACCAGGTAGCTTCCCGACAGAGCCCAGCCCCTCAGCTTGGTCCAGAAGACCGGAGTCCCGCTTGCTCACCTCAGTCTCCCTGTGCCCTGCTCCCCTCCTAGGGAACAGGCACCCAGCCCACTACAGAGCCCGACGTCACCCTCCACTTCCCCGAGGAAGAGAGATGTCAGGAAAGTTGCTGGTTTGCACAGAGTCCCCTGTTCCTCGTGTGCTTCGATGGTGGTTGCTTATATCAAGACAGAACATTCACCGGGTAGAAACCATGAGGATCTCCAAGCAGAGAAGCCTTCGCCCCTGGACACCACTCCTGGGCACCTTCTCTTCCGCTCTCGGCCCTTCCCTTCCAACAGAAGCGTGAATCACTGTGTGCACTCACCCATCCCACTGATATCAGGTGAGGCTCACACTCAACTCTCCCCAGCTTATGGCCTCCTGGGTGCAGCTTCACTTCCTTGAACCCAAAACCTTGGTTAAATCCTGTGGGGGTGGAGAGGAAACGGAAGCAGCTGCTCCCCACTCTCCCTGCCAGAACATTCTCCTCCTGGCTTTCCAGGTGTGGCACACGGGGTACTGGCCGCAGGGCTGTTTGGACAGTTTCCCCTTTGTCATTCCCCCCTGGCTCTTCACGGTAGCCTCCCTTGGTATATGCCGCTCTAGCTGTGGAAGATACTTCAGAACAACACCCCAGAGGCACCTGCCCTGAGGGCCGCACCCCTCCATCCTGAAATGGCGAAGGGAGGGCTGCGCAGGGTGGACCGAGTCTTAGGACTGCAGCCTTTTCTTCAGAGGGCAGCTATCCACTGTTCTACAGAATGGTTTTAACACTAAGGGGATGTTATTTATTAACTAAAACATCCTCTTTACATCCTCTTTATATAAAACAAGAGCTCATTGCATGTCACTTTCATTTGTGTTTTACTTCTCCAACCCTACCAAGAAGCCCGGCCTGAGTTCTTGTTTTAAATCCAAGCCCAGAGAAAGCGCTGCTGGGTGTGAACGTGTAAAACCCTCCCAGGGCACAGCGTCCCAGCATAGGAAACAACCTCCCAGCCTGGGGCACACCTCCCAGGGCAGAAGACAGCTGTTGCTGCCTTCTCTGTGTGATCTTGCCGATCTTTGGTGTAGTTGGCATTTCTCCCCAACAGGACACACACACACACACACACACACACACACACACACGCACACACACTCTCTCTCTCTCTCTCTCTTTCTCTCTCTCTCTCTCTCTTTCTCTCTCTCTCTCTCTTTCTCTCTCTCTCTCTCTTTTGGACATTGTTTCCATGTAAGGGCCCAGTCTCCTGTGGAAAGAAGCACACATCCATTGCTATGTATTTAGTGTCTAGGGGACTGGAGGAGAGAAGCTGAGTCCCTGGAGTCTGCTCAGCTCTGCAGGCACAGATGGAATCCACAGCCTGGCCAGCTCCTCCGAGGCCTGGCCCCTGCCTGTGGACACAGCCAGCCCCTCCTCCTGGTGTCACTAGGAGCTCAGACCAAAGCAGCAGCCCATCTTCCGGGGCAGCAGCCTGGGCGCCCGTCTCTCCCTGACCCCTCACCAGGGACTGCTGCAGCTGAAGGCCTGGGTTCTCAGCCCCTGGCTGCTCTCTCCCTGTTCAGAGGCTCAGGTCTCCTAAAGTGGCAGCAGCTCCTCAGATGGCCTTGCTGTGGCCACGTCAGCTCCCAGATGCTCCTCTAATCTGCACAGCAGCAGAACAAGGAGGCTTTGTGGAAACCCCGCCTGTGTGCACATGCCCAGACAGCCAAGAACTCAGAGGGAGGCGATGCTACTGTTTTATTGCAGGAGGTTGGGGGCTGGGGTGTGCGGGGCACACAGGGGCGGTGGGAAGCAAGAAGGAAGGCGGGAGGGCAGCGCCCCCTGCCGAGTAACAAAGGCCTCTGTCTGCCACCTTCTCTGTCTCCTGGTGCAGGCGCATGGGGAGACCTTCCCCAGGGCGGGGGTCACCAGTCCAGGGGTGGGAGACTACAGAGGTGGGAGTAGGAGGTGTTCAGTGCAGCTGGCCTGGCACAGACCCCTAGGCTTTCCGACACCTGTATTTCAACAGGGATATTCTGTCTTCCCAGGGAACTTCGTTGATCTGGAAAGAGCAGAACTGTTTCTGTGAAAGGGAAGAGAGAGGGACAATCAGTGTGGGTCACAGTTAAAGGGCAAGACACCTGGGCATGAGATGTCAGAACCTGCATGAGGTTCTGCCCCCACCCCACCCTGCTGAATCCCCGAGCACTGAACTAGAATAGTGACATTTCCATTGCCTCTCCCCAGACTCTAGGTCCCCAGGGGGCATTGCCCTACCTCAGCCTGCAGGATTCCTGCCCCAGCACAGCCCTGGGAGGAGAGCAGCCTGTGCAAGGCCTCGAGAGCCCCAAGGGTGCAGGGAGGATAAGGCGGCTCACTGTTCCCAGCTCCTTCCATCTTCAGCACCCAGGACAGCACCAACAGGAGCCAGAGAGAACCCAGGGTAGGGAATACCCCTCAAAGAGCTGGGACACGGGGAGGGGGCGACATGGGGATTGTGGCTCTCTCCTGAGTGGAGACCTCATGAGAACCAGCAAGTCCTGAGAGAGGCTGGTGTTGGGTGAATGCGGCATGCCTGAGGGTTTGGTGGCAAACAGGCCTCTAGCTCCCTCTAATCTGCTCAGTGTGGCAGTGGCTGCAGGCAGGTGCCTGAGGCTGGGATTAGACAGAGCCCCTTCTCCTTGCGCTGCACCCAGCCCTGTAGCTGCTTCCTATAGTCCAGCAGGCAACACCCCAAAGCAGGCAGACTTGACCTCCCAGTAACCATTACTAAGGAAAAGCTTTTGTAGCAAGTCAAATTCACCACCGCCATCCCTCCCCACCTCGTCTGCACACACATAGACAACTACGTAAACTCACTTGGACCCCTCACCCACACAGATCTGTGTAGAAACTCCTATACACCCCCCTCACATCCACACACAGGCACACATGCTCCCATCCACCTCCCCACACACTGGCACATGTGTGTACAGACGTGCACCTGTCCACATGCACACCTACACCTATCCACACCCCTAGGTACATGCACATGTACACATCCCTGGCTCCCCACAAACACACCTGGATACACACACACCTTCCAAACGTGTGTAGGGCAGATGCTGACACACACACACACACCCCTCTACAAGGGCACGCTGGCCTGGGACCCACGTCGAGAACGTACCTTCTGCTGTTCTGGCTGTTCACGGAAGGGACAGGTGTCCAAATTGGGCTGGGACTTGGTACATGTGGTTCGGCCAATCTCTACGTCGAAAAAGTAGTTGGTCCCAGCCACGGTCTACACACACACACACAAAAACAGGATACAGGGACGGTGCTCTCCATTAGTGACAGGGACCCACAAGCACTTCACTGCGGCTGAGTCACTGGACTTGCCTGGGGCTTCGTGAGCTGCCCACACTGTCACCACAAGGCCCACAAGCCCCTCCTCCTGTCAGCTGTCAGGGTGCTGGGCCTCATGCCCGCTCTTAAACATAGTGTTCTCTGTGCCGGGGAAAGGATTCATTGAATTCTGCTACCTGTGGCTGAGGGGCGAGGGGACACTGAATCTTTTCCAGGAAGGCTGTCATCTGATGACAAAATTTCAGCTAACTTCCTAGAATCTCACACCCTCCATAGAACCTAGATTCATCTATTACTTCATTTAATTGTAGGAAATGAGCTGCTTCACACACATAGATATTTGAGGCCAATAAATACTGCTTCCTGGATGCCTCCGTTTTAAGTGCGAGATTCCATCAACATTTCTAAAATGAGCAGCACACTTATGTGTCCCACAATTGCAGAAAAGAATTGAACCCTTTCCCTACACAGGGACTCTCCCAGACCAACTTGTCAGAACTGTGGAGAAACCTGGGATGAGGGACCCTGAGGCCAGGGTGCTGGATCTCGCCCCTTGGAACCAGGAAAAACTGCTGAGCTCCTTTGAGTCTCAGTTTACCCATATATAAAATAGGGTCTGGGCCTGATGGTCTGCAATGACCTGTGCTTCACTCCAAGTTACTGTCAAGCTTGAGAGGGAGGTGCAGGACAGCTAGTTCCGCAGAGCCAGGGAGTGCACCCCATGTGCAAGGAGTGGTCCCCAGTTGATAGCTGTAGGAGGAGAAACAGGGCTGGTCTGGACTCCTCTGAGTTTCCAAGAGAAGGTGGAGGAGCTCTAAAGGCTGCGTCACTGTTTGCTGCTCTGCTATGGGATGCAGGTCAAGCTGGAACCAGGGTCAGTCCTTGGGGCTGTGCCCAAGGGCGTGACCTGGGGAAGGAAGCAGGGCTCTGCAGGACAAGAGCCAGCCTCCCATGTGGTCCCTGCAGAGAGGACTCAGGGAGGAGGACGAGCCTTGTGGCCTGGATCTCATCCTGGGCAGCGCCAAGCCCACCCCGAGTCAGCACAGTCCCCGTCCACCCCTGCTGGACCTGGGGAATGCCAGGGTCACGGCACAGACACAGCAGGTCCTGCAGGGTAATGGAGGTGGAAGGGACAGGACAGTGGCTGCAGTGCATGTCCTGGGACCGACCTTGGACATGAAGGCCATCAGCAGAGAGTCAGGGAAAGCCGAATGAGTCTGAGCATTAGATCATGAGTGTGTCAGTGTTGATTTGCCGGGAATGCCCTTGGGGGTGGAGTGACAAACCAGGCTGGGACCCAGGACCCCTCGGGTGGTGGCAGCACCCACCTGCTCTCTGGCTCGCAGCACCCGCAGCAGGCGTCTGTAGTACGCATCTTTGGTGGCCTCGTTGTACTTGCTGATGGCGAAGTGAAGGGCACGCTGTACCCACTCATCACTGAGGTCTGCATCACGGATGCCACCCAAAATATTCTTATTCTGCTCCTGGGGGCTCAAAAGTATCCTATCCTCCTCCTCCGGACTCAGAAGTATCCTGTCCTCGTCCGCCACCAGGGCCGCAGGCAGGGCGGCCAGCAGGAGCAGTGGGAGGCACAGCGGCCGGGCCATGGGCTCCTCAGAGGCAGAGGTGCAGGAGTGGAGGCAGAGAGCTGAGGCGGGATGCCCAGACCAGCAGCAGCCGTGCCTTTATCCTGCTGGGGCAGCCCAGCCCCACCCCTTCCATGCCCGCCCCTCACTCCTCCTCCTCTTTCTGTCCACCCCCCCTTCCTCCATCTCCTTTCACTGCCCCAACCCCCAACAAGCTCGTCTCTCAGCTCCCCCTGCCCATATCCAGCCTCCTCCTCCATCTCCCCCTCCTCCCCGCTCCTGTCCTCACTTCAGCCTCCCCCGAGCTGTGCCCCTCTTCCCCAGTGCTCCCCACTTGGAGTCACCCTGATCTCCACAGAGATAACAGTGCTCCTTTCGCTGTGAAAGCAACGTGACATTCTGTTTACTCAGAAAAGGAAGAAAAAAAAAAAACACAGGGTTTGGCCTCCTGGGGTCTTCAGATGTCAGGGGCATCCAGGAGAACTTGGCCACATTATCAGAATCTCTGGAGCAGGGAGGTTATTTCAGAAAGTTCCAGAAGACCCTGCCCACACCCTACTGTGGATTATTTCTTTGTCACATTTAAGGGAATTAACCTTTTGGGAAAAGGTCACTGGCTTGTGTTTTCATAACTCATTATTCAATGAACAAACCTGTCACCAGCTACTTCCCGTGCCAGGAGTTCTAGGACTTGAAGACTGAACCTGGATGATGAGCCACAGAGGTGACATGCAGACCTGCCACCCAACAGAGATGTGACCCGAACCCATGAGCAATTTAACATTTCTAGTAGCTGCATTTTAAAAGATAAGAATAAATGGGTGAAAGTCATGTTAAAATATGTATTTAACCTAACATAGCCATAACATTATTTCAGCCCATAGTGCCAATTATTGAGATACTTTATGGGTTTCTTTGTTTTTGTTTCTTTGGTAAGTTATTGAAATTCCCTGCATATTTTTTACTCTAACACCAGGAGTCATTTTGGACTGGCCCCATTTCAAGTGTCCCATGGCACATGTGGCTGGTGGCTGTGGAACTGCACAGTCCATTCCATTACAGTGTGTGTAGGGATGGTAGGTTATGATCACCAATTAAGATCAGGAGTTAGGATCTCTGTGTTGGAGTGAAGCAGAACAGGGTCTGCAGAGAGACCGCAGGACTCTGGTCAGCAGGGTGGTCTCTGTGAGACTGGGCACGTTGAGAAGCCCCAGAGAGCGGGGGAACAGCCAGTGCAAAGGCCCTGAGGTGGGGCTGGGCGGACTGGACAAGCTGAGAAGCCCCAGGCAGCGGGGAACACCTAGTGCAAAGGCCCTGAGGTGGGGCTGGGCGGGTCTGCTCCAAGAGGAAGCTCACGAAGGGGGTGTGAGCAGGGAAGGGAACAACCTGGATTCTCACCATAACTGTGGGTAGAGCCAGGTGGAAGGCGCAGGGAGACCCCCGTGGGGGTGTCAGGAGAGGGATCAGCAGCTGCAGGATGAATGTGGGAGCCCACGGGCCTCTCTTGTTCCAGCCCTAGGTGAGACACGCTTTGGACTCCTTTGCTCTGTGCACTGCTTGGAAGACTTGCCCTATATTTTAAATTGTCCTGAATGAGGTAGGATTTACATACAATAAAGTGCCTAATTGTGCCTGCACAATCTGGAGGATTTCATAAATGCATACACCCGAGTTACCACTTTGTCCAGACCCGTAGCTTCTGCCTTGCCCCACATGCTGTCCTGCTGCCTCTGCAGCCCACCCTCATGCCCACCCCACCCCGGCAGCCCCCATCCGGCCCTGTAGACTCCTTTGTCGCCTGTCCTTAGCTTCCCAGGAATGAATCCTGCAGTCCGAGCCCTGAGGTGTCTTTGTCCTTTGCTCAGCCTGGCTTTCCAACAGTCCCCGAGTTGCTTCGTTGCCAGGACTGTGAGTTCTCCTTCTCCCCAGAGTGAGGACGTGGCCAGCTGGGTTCCCTGTGGGCGGTCAGAGTCCCCAGCTCCGGAGGCTGCCGGCCTGTGCTGGAATGTGACTCCAGGAGTGGGGAGGGGGGAGGGGCTCTGAGCAGACAGCTGCTCCCCGTGTTCTCTCAACCCCACCCTCCAGGTCTGAAGGTGACCCTGTGGCAGATGCCCTTATGGTGAGGTGGCAGGCTTGGCCAGAAACACCCGGAAACCCTGGGCCTTTGCAGGGCACCCAGTGGACTCTCCTGGGAGTGGTGGAGGTGAGGGTTGGCCAGCGTCAGCCCAGACCCTCTGTGATCCTGGGGCTCGGCCATGGCTGGGCTGGATTGGCAGGAACTCAACAGTGGAAACAACATTACTGATGGGTTCATGTTCAGTGTTAGAATTGGGGACCTTGTTACCCAAGGCCCAGTGGTCTTCCCACCCCACTGTGAATCCAGCACCCCTAGAAAAGCCATGCACCCCACCAGACACAGCAGGTGTCCCAGGCATGGTGTTTACTGCTGGGAGACGGAGGGAAGGGCTTCAAACAGGGCTGCACATAATGCCTTCTAGTTAGACAGAAAACTGGGGAAAGATCCCCAGGCAAGGAAAGAGAGGGAGTCACCTACCAGCATTGTGAGCAGAATGGTCATCTCCAAAGGTGGGAGTTAATTTTCCGCTGTGGCTCCCACCTTCCTGGGACACCTGGGAGTCCAGTCCCAGGAAGACATGTGCAGAGGGTAAGCTGAGGGCCAGGCAATACTCTCGTCTTTTATTACTGCAAAGGAGATGCAGGTCACCCAAACAGCGAGAATGTGCTGATGTGCGAAGTGAGAGGGAGGGGTCAGAGTCCTGTCCTGTGCCCCGAATGTGATGACACAGCGGCTAGTCGTCCTCTGTCTGGATGCTGGCATGCACGGCGGGGAGGGTCAGCTGTCCTGATGCAGCAGCCTCTCTAATCTCAGTAGGAAACATACAGTGTGGGCTGCTCTTAGGAGGAGGTACAAGTGTGGTGTCCAGTATGGACTGATAGGAAGTGGCAGGTCAGGGTAGGTGGCCAGCGGCTCCAGATGTTTGATGACCTCAGGCAAATGTGTCTGTCATGCATGTGGAGAAAGTGGCTCCTTTGTAAAGCATAGTGTCTGGGGGTTCAGACCAGCAGAGATGGACAGGCTTCAGCAGTGAGATATCAACATGGTTGAAATGATGGAGTAGGCAGGTGTGGTGGTTCACCTGCAATCCTAGAAAATTAGGAGGCTGAGGCAGGAGGATTTCTTGAGTCCAGGAGTTCAATTCCAGCCTGTGCAACACAGTAAAACCTCCAGCTCTAAAAAAAAAAAAAAAAAAAAATGACAGAACACTTCTTTCCCTGATTTCCATAGTCTACAGTTTTAAGGACATACTAGGAGGGGCCCAGATAGCAACCATAGACTGAGGACCAAGCCTGGGGCGTCCAGCACCCATGTAACCTGGAGGAATCCAGCTGCCGAGGAGGGGGCATGTTTCCCTTCTGCCAGGTGACAAGAGAAAGCCGTGTTCGTCTAGGCTGCGTGCGTGACTACTGATCCCATGATCTGAATTAGTAGGATGAGAAATTAGGTGAGTGGTAGAATTTCTCTGTAATCAATGAGAATAATAAGTGAACACTAAACAATACTATGATTAACGAATGACCAAGCACAGAAAGCATCATCTAAAGGCGCAAGTGGTGAGGACAAGTTGGCCAAGAGTTGCGAGTCTGCACATTTGGGTTTTGAGCAACTCACACTTTGGTCTGTGGTAGGAGCTGAGACTGAGCAGCCACAGAATTTGGTGGCTTCTCAAATGGGAAACCCAGGTGCCTCCTTTATGGAGTGCCTGGAAATCTCTGGGGTCAAGCTCACCTCTTACACACTCCCTCCCTCCTTCTTTCCTCCCTCTCCTCTAACATGGTGGATACGTGGAAGCTCCGAAGCTATGAGCCAATGTTGGTAACACATTTGGCTCTGCTAGGACACGTGGATGCCTCTAAACTATGGGCCAGTGTTGGTAACACATTTAGCTCTGCCACATCGTTAGGAAACCCTGATACTCACGAGGAAGCCTGCTGGTAGTCCCAGCAAGAAAAAGCGAGAGAGGGCAGAGCCCACTGTCTGAGGTCTGACTGTTTGCACTCCATGGAGGGAAAGAGAATCCTTTCTCTCAGGGACCAGCGTATGAACAGCTTTCATGGCTTTGGAAGGCAAGTTGACATTTATTTTTCAAAAAGAGCATTTGCCGGTGCAAACTCAGTGAGTGAAGAACCACATATGAGTGGAGGGGACTGGGGGAGGCCTCGGGGACCTTGGGCTGCCGGCTGGTGCAGCCGGGGCGCCATCTGATTCCTTGGGCTGCAGCCTGCTGAGGCCTGGCCACAAGGAAAACTGACAACTCTGAGGAGGTGAGTCATCTCCCTGTCATCTCTGGATGGACACACTTTCTAATTCTGTTTGGGTCACTGCTGAGACTTCCCTGTCACTGTTTGTGTAGCCTTAAACATCAATTCTTTTAGCAAAGTGCAGTGACTGCGGAGAGTGTTTCCTCTTCCTGCTTGGAATCCTGTTAAGCCCAGTCACTGAGTGCTGGAGGTCATCGGGACAGGCCTGCCCCTCCGTGACCCTGACTGCCTCTCCTCCCTGTCACAGAGGAGCTGGATCCAGAGACAAGACTCACCTTGACTCAGTTAAGCTCCTCCGAGCCTTCTCCCCTAGGCCTCAGCTACTCCCAGCCCTGGACCTCCTGTCCTTGCCAGGGCCATGATGTCCAGTTTTAGGAAAGAATCCTGCTAAGTCAGTTTAGAAAGAATCCCCCACCGTTGGTATCTGATCACCCTCAACATCTGATCAAGTTCCTCCTTCCTCAATTTTGATGTCTAAGGCTTTGTCCTGCCTTTAGTAAGAATTCTGTCAGGTCAGTTTATCTAGAAACTTCTACCTTTGATGTCTCTGCTTTATCCATTAACCCTACCACCTGGATCCTTGGCTATAAACCCCCACTTCCCACTTCCCCTGGTATTTGGAGTTGAGCTCACTCTCTACCTTACGGTGAGAGTGTTGACACCTAGTGCAATCATCTTGAATCATCTCAACCAAGCTCA